TACCCAGCTAATTTTTAAATTTTTTATAGAGATGGGGTCTCACTATGTTGCCCCAGCTGGTCTTGAAGTCCTGACCTCAAGCGATTCCCCTATCTCGGCCTCCCAAAATGCTAAAATTATAGGCGTGAGCCGCCGTGTCTGGCCTATTTCATATTGTTATTTTTTATAGTCTGTTTTCTCCCCACTGGAATGCAAACTCCATAAAGATAGGAGCTTTGTCTGTTTTGTTCACAGATGTATTCCAAGCTCGTGGAATAAGGCCTGGCAGATAGGAGAGGCTCAATAAATATTTACTAAATGATTTCATTTTTATTTACAGAGCGATTAGTGGAAATATGGATTAGCAAAGGGTCTTCCAGGGAAGGAAAGGGTTTAAGAATTATTGTCCTCAGTTTGGCCAGAAGGATGGCTCTACTTTCTGGTTTCTTCCTGTGTATTTGTTGGTAGTCCCCACTCCCAAACTCTCCTATCTTCAGAAACATCACCTGAATATTTGTCAGGGTCACACTGGTGGCAAGAAGTTTCTCCTTTATTTGAATAAGTGTTGGCAGGGCAAAGTTTGCAGGAAGAGGAGCCCTGCTTGGCCGCATATGTGCCGGGTTTGCAGGGGAAGCATTCGGAAGTGTAGGCCACCCCTAGGGAGAAAAAACAGCATAGAAAAGCAAGGACTGACCCTGGAGACTGAGCCCCCTGGACACCAACTCCCACCCTCCCTGCAAAGTCAACAGGCCAGGAAATCAGTAACCCCAGATCCAACCCCCTCAGTACCTGTTATGGCGATGTTTCTCACCAGCACAGGCTTGGGAACTTTGGACCACACCGAGAAGGCTGTGGTTCTCCAAAAGAGGACATTATTGCCTCGATTTAACTCGACCTAAAAACCACAAGCAGGAGGTGTTAGTTCATCACACAGACAGATGCCACTAATCTGTCAGTGTAGCCTCTTGGTGGGAGCTCTCCTCTCACAGCCTGCCTGGCAGTGCCCATGCTGACCTCTCCCTCCTCTCGCTCAGCTTTGCCCCTCCTCCCACCTTAGCTCAGCTCCTCTTTCTAAACCTCCTCCTGCAACCCTGTCACGTCCCCTCGCTCTGCTCCCTTGATCACATATTTCATGAGCATCTCTTATGACCAGACCGGTAAAGGGATCTGAAGGTACTAACCACAGGGTGACTGGCATCCCCTCATTCTTCTCTGGTTCTACAGGGAGGAGCCCCCATCCCCAGAAAACACAGCCTTAAAGCTAGAAAGCTGCTGGTCTTTTGGTCAAGCCACAGGAGCAACAAGTCAGCCCATACCCCTATTCCATCGACTCTAGAGGAGAGGGAACATAGCATCCTCGTCACATCAAGAGCCCTGCTCTCGAGGGACGGAGGGGTGGAGGCTCAGACTGGGAGGAGGCACTCTCTGAGGAAAGGCCCTTGGTCCCTTTTCTGGGATCTCCAGGAGAAGTCTGGGGCGATACTCACACTGTGGAATTCCCATCCCTTCTCCGTGGTTTTCATCCACCTGGAGTCATCCGCACTGGGCTGGCACTGGTCGTTCTGAACCTGAGGCACAGGGGTTTGGGGCCAGAGCCTCAGCTTCCTAAGGAGACGAGCGCTTTACCCCACGCTACCAGCCCTCCCTCTTTAGAGAGAAGGGTCGTTAATTTCCTTTAGGGACTGAGCTCAGAACATATGAGCCTTGAAGTAGGGCAGGAGCTAGAAGCACACACAAGCGTCTGAGCACTGACATCAAAGAAATGGCGTGTAACTCAGACATGCTGTTTTCATGTGTGAGCAGGACAAAACACCTAGAAATCTTCCAGACTCTCTTCTGCCCCCGGAAGTGCTTTGACTTTGGCCTTTTCTCCTTGCCTCTTCAGGCCTCAGCTCATTTTGCCCATAGTTCTGTCCAGAAGAAAAGCAACTGTGAAGTCCCAAGCAGAACTACGCTCGTGATTGAGTCTTGCAAATCAACCTGAACCTCGGAGAGTCTGTACCTCCCACCCTCTCCCTTGGCCAGGGTCTTACGAAAAACTCAAAGATGATGCTGGAGTCTGGGTAGTAGTACTCAAAGTTAACAGTGCCGGACTGCTTCAGGTTGACGGCGTACATCAGCGTGGCTGTGCACTCGTCCGTGTTGGAGGCAATGTAGTCACCCTGGGGTACCCACTTGGACCTGTGAGGGAACAGGAACCAAGTTCATTGGCAGGAGCACGGCCCGCCAGGCTTTGTGCCATGTACAGGTCTGCTGTTCTGCGCGGTCTCTGGGAATTCTAGACTTGCGATTCACAGTCCAAGCTTGGATCTGAAAATGCTCAGTGAAGAATGACTAAAGAAGCTCTGAGGTAGATCAAGGAGCCTGGAGTGCAGCCAACAAGAGGAAGGCAGGCAGGTTACCTCCCCATTACGCAGAACTACCCAGGAGATAGATGGCAGGTGAACGGCGGGGGTGTGTGTGTAAATATTTATCGGTTACTTACTATCTCCCAGGTATTAAACTACATGGTATTTGTCTTCTTTTAATTTAATTTTTTATTGTATTTAGAGGTGGGGTCTTGCTCAGTCACCCAGGCTGGAGTGTGGTGGCACAATCATAGCTCACTGTGGCCTCAAACTCCTGGGCTCAAGCGATCCTCCTGCCTCAGCCTCCTGAGTCTGTGTAGCTGAGACTACAGGCGTGCACCACCCTGCCCGGCTGAACTACATGTTTTAAATCCATGATTTCTTTTCCTCAATAAGAGGAAGTGCTATTTCTTTCCATTTAATAGGAGACGAGACTGAGGATGGGGGAGGACCATTCCCAATGTCATGAAGCCAGCAAGTGGCGGCGCTAAGATTCAAACCCGGCTCTGCCTAACTCCAAAGCTGCCAAAGTAAGTCAGTAAACATAGATGTTCTTCAGAAATCAGAAGTTCACCCGGTCTAGTCCATCTGGTTTTCTGGAAATGTCCACTTTATTCTTTTTTTTCCTGTATCATCTGAATTTGCAATTTATGGAAACATTCACTTGAAGATGCTATATGTAAGTGGTTTTTATGGGAAGGGGGAAAACCAGAGAACCCCAGAGACAATCGATCTAGTCATGTCTGCTTTGTGTCAATTCTACGCAGCCTACCCAAGAGCTTTCCCTACGCCCGCCACCTCTGAACTGCCTCCAAACTCATCCCCCGGCATCCAGTCCTGCATCCTCCAACCCCTCTCCAAGCGATGTGGTCACCGCTCCCCTGCTTAAAACCCCTGTGACTGACTCCCTGTTGTCCTCAGGATGGGGTACAAATTCTTGGCCCCCTCTCTATACTTTAGCCTACAGAATTTCTTTCAATTCCTCTGCCAAACTTCTCTTACTCTTGGGCCTCCCCACATGCTGTTCCTTCTTCCTAGAACAAACTTCCTCCTCCTTCCCTCTATTTAATTCCTACGCATGGCTTAGAGGAAATGCCACTTAATCTAGATTCCTTGACTCTATCTGCCTCTGCTATGGGTACCCTTAACTCTCTTTGTTTCCCTCCTCATATCCATCACCCATTCTGTTTTATTTATCTTTAGTATATTATGAAATGTTTAAGACCTACACAAAGTCATAATGAGCACTCATCTACCTGCCACCTTGCTTAAGAAATACAGCACAGGCTGGGCGCGGTGGTTCACGCCTGTAATCCTAGCACTCTGGGAGGCCGAGGCGGGAGGATTGTTTGAGCTCAGGAGGTTCGAAACCAGTCTGAGCAAGAGCGAGACCCCGTCTCTACTAAAAATAGAAAGAAATTAGCTGGACAACTAAAAATAGATGGAAAAAATTAGCCGGGCATGGTGGCGCATGCCTGTAGTCCCAGCTACTTGGGAGGCTGAGGCAGAAGGATCGCTTGAGCCCAGGAGTTTGAGGTTGCTGTGAGCTAGGCTGACGCCACGGCACTCTAGCCCGGGCAACACAGTGAGACTCTGTCTCAAAAAAAAAAAAAAAGAAATACAGCACAGCGGAAGCCTCCGCGTGCGCCTGGCCAACCTCACCCCCTTGCCCGTGACACAGTCCCTTCCCACTGCCAAGTGAACACTTTCCTGAAGCTGGTGTTCAACATCCCATGTAGTTCTCTATCTGTATGTATCTCTACACAATATACTGTATGGCAGTACTTTGCATGTTTTAAAACTTTATGTAAATGGTATACTTTTATGTTCTGCAACTTGCTTTTTTGGGGGGAGGCTTCAGTATAATGATTGTAGGTTTCACCCATACTCTCACATGTAGGTCTTCTCCTTTCATTTTTACTACTGCATAATATCGCTTTTTATGGCTCTACCATGTTTATTTACATATTACGGGTCGATGGACATTTCAATTGTTTCCAATTGTTTGCTATTGTGCACACTCTGCTATGAACATTCTTGTTCCTGTCCCCTTATACGCATGTGTGAGCGGGATGCCTGGGAGGGGAACTGTTGGGTCAGAGGGTGTGTGAACCTCCAACTTTACTAGCTACCGCTACCCTGTTCTCCAAAATGGTCGTAGCGATTTACACCCGCCTGCAGTGTAAGAGAGCTCCTGGTGTTCTGCATCGGCTCCGAATTTGGAACTGGCAGACTTTAAAACTGTTGCCAATACAATGTGGTGGGAAGTAAGTGTCTAACTGGGCTTTAAATCTTATTTCCTTGGTTACTAGTAAGGTTGAGCATCTTAGTTTATTTGCAATTTGGGTTTCCCCTTCTGGTCAGACTTTATTTTATTTTAATTCTTCTTCAGCTGTCTATCTTCTCGGCTGGCCTGTAGATTTTGTGAGGGCAGAGACCAAATTTGCCTTGCTCACTGATGTATCCCCAGCACAAAGCCCTGGGCCTAGCACAGAGGAAGGACTCAGGGATTAAACAGAGCAATGTGAGAATGGGTGATCAAAGAGAACCCCACTATTTCACTGTTTTGCCTAACACCAGACCAGGTCTCCAATTTCTTAATAACGGCCAGTTAAGGGAACCTCAAATTAGTTCACTGGTTTCCCCCTGTTTGCCAGAATCACATGGTATTTCCTGTTCTTCAATAGTCGGTGTTATTCTCAAAATGGAAACATAAAGTGAGCTCATCCAAAATATCCCAGCTAACCAAGGAGAGAACATTGATCTCTCCTTGTTGAAAGAGACTTTCGGTGCTGATGTGCTCCTGGCATAAGCTATAAATAACTCCTGAAGTTTGATGAATAATTAAACGGATGCCGGAAGTGGGTCACATTTGCAAAATGCATCACAATTCTGATTTTCATCAGAGTTGTCCCTGGTAAAGACATTTCACAGTGAATAATAACATATTCTGATTAATTTCCAGGGCCAGGCATTGCTGTAAATTCTTTACTTGTATCTTCTCCTTTAATTCTTACCACAACCTATAAGAGCACTATTTTTTCATCACTTTTAGAATGAGAAAACTGAGGCTTAGAGGTGATTAGGAAACTTGTCATAGGTCAGTTAGTTGTGATCTGCATATAGTGTTTATAATTTTTAATGTTTATGTTTATTTTTCTCTCATTCCCATTTCATTGTCACAGTATTTGAGCTTCTGCTCACTCTTTGCTATATGACATCCTGAGCACATAGCATGTGCCTATAATCCCAGCTACTTGGGAGGTTGGAGGCGGAAGGATCACTTGAGCCCAGGATTTGAGACCAGCTGGGGCAACATAGCAAGACCCTATCTCAAAAAAAAAAGAAAAAAAAGAGAGAAATAACTGGCATATTTTCTGTAGGAATGGTCTTCTAAAAACAAAACAAAACCAACATCCTTTCTCTTACTCCCTCTTCACTCCTATTGCCGTTTGCTTATCCCAGTCTCTGATCTCAGACTGTTTCTTGCACCTTAGCCCTGGGACACAAACCCAGGAACCATGGAGGAGTCCTGAAGGCTCAGGATGCTGCCATGAAGACTACATTCAGTTGGTCTGTTTTGCTCCCAATTACTTATCTTGTGTCTACTTTGGGCTAGATGCTATGTTAGATGCCAGAGACACAGCAACTAACCAGGTTAGAGCTTGGCTTGCATTCTGTTTCTAGTAGAGGAGCTGGAAACTTAACTAATTACACAATCAGCCACACAGTCATGACTGTGGTAGGTACCACAGAGAAATACAAGATGATACAAGAGTGTGGAGCAGGAGTCTATGGGGTCAAAGATGGTTTCTTTGAGGAGGGGACTTTTAGGCAGAGACCTGAGGGTTAAGTAGGAGTCATCTAGGAGAAAGAACAGAGTTCAAAGGCTCCAAGAAGAGAAAGAGCTTAGTGGTCAGCATGGCTGGAGCACAGCAAGCGAGAGGGAAGGTACTTAGGGGAGGCTGGGCAGATGGCAGAGGCCAGAGGCCAGAGCGGCAGGGCCCTGCAGGCTGTGTGAAGGTAGCTGATTTTATCCTAAGAGCAATCAGTAACCATGGAATCCAGAGTTATGAACAAGAAAGTATTGCGATTGGATTTTTGCTTTAAGAAGATGAATCTGGCTGCTGAGGAGACAGCAGCCGAGAGGAGTCTGGGAGTGGAAGCAGCAGACCAGCTGGGAGGTTCTTGAGGCAGAACGGGCAGGAGCCGATGCTGGCTTGGGTGAGGGTGGAGGCCGTGGGGCTGGATTTGGGCAAATACACAGCTGAACAGGAAAGCCAGACACTTGGCTCTTGGTACCAGCTCAATTACTGCCTTTCAGCAGATGGTGAGGAAACCACAAAACCTCTCCAGTGGCCATTTCCTCTCCATTTCTACAGAGCAGAAACATCCTCTTCCTCCCCCCTCCCTCCAGGAATGCTGTGGGATGCCTTAGGGTCCAGGCCCTGATATAGTCTGTGCCATAAATTGTTATTAACCTGCCCTCATCCTGTCTTGTGGAGAGATAATGATTTCTAGATTCTCAGTGTTGTCCCCAGAGAGAGGAATCCTTCCTTTACATGGGTAGGAATTGATTGAGCTGGGTCTGCACCTTGTCCATGGTTGAATGACATTCTCCATAGGATTCAAATGGGGATTGGTTGTCCTAACCCACACTTTCCCTTTCCTTCCAGCTCTAATCCTCTCTAGCTTTATCTAGCTTTTTTATTATTATTATTTCTTCCGCACTTTGGTGTTTTATTATTTCCAAACCTCAGGCTATGTACAGGAAATGAGAGGATTGTTAAAATAAAAAAAAGGACCTAAAATGGCCTGGCTGGCATGGCCAGCCATGAGGAACAGCGGGGCCTGGGCCCCACCACTCTGTCCCCTGGGCCCCAGGGCCTCTTGGCACTGTGTGGCCTCTGCACCCCGGCGTGGCAGGGGCTGGCACTGTGCAGTGCATGTCCAGCCCTCGGCCCCTTTCCCTGCCAGCTGGTTTTGTAGTTGTCCTGGCAGAGGTGGGGGCCAGAGCCTGCAGTTCTGTCCCCAGAGGTCTGGAGTTGCTGTAGGGGTCCTTAGGCATGCTAATGAATTTGACACATAAACTTGAACTCTAAAATAACATTCAAACTGGATGACATATTGAATGCCTGCTTCTTGGCTCAGACAAGATTTAAGTATAGGAATGGGGACATTGCTCCCAGTTTTAGAAATCCAGGTGTAATACAATTCTTAAGTCCCTTCTACCCATTTGATTGCCTGGGTATACGGGAGACTCATTTAGTTTCCTCCCACATTCGCTGTCAATATTTAACGAAGAGCAAGGTACTTTCACATCCTTGCATCCCCCCTCTTTTGCTCCCTAGGACCCAACATTGCCTTGCACTCAACAAATGTCATCTGAAGGTGGCATTACGGGGTGGCAGAGAGCTTCGGACTGGGTTTGAATTCCAACCTCACCAGTTGTAAGCTGGATAACAAAGGGCAGGTCACTTAACCTCGCTGAGCCTCCCGTTCCTCCTCTCTGTGATACGAACAGTAACACCTATTTCACAGGGCTCTTGTGAGGATTAGAGAAAATAGCAGGGGTAAAGCACCAGAATAGTGTCTGGCGCTCACACACGGTATGAGAAAAAATGAGGGTCATGGACGTGTCCCGCACATCTGAAATAAACAGCCAGTTCTCCACGTGCCCGCGACTAAGCTGTTCCGCTACTGGCAAAGGTCTCCTGAGCCGGGGAATTTTCCGGTCACTGGGGTCTCAGCCAGCACGGATCAAAGCTCTGGTCTGGTCCTACTCTATCCCCTCAGAAACCCAGGTTGGGCAGAACCAGTTTCAGAAGTCCGCACCCACGCCAGGAAGAGCCCGACTCTGGGCAGCAAAGCGTCGTGTTGCAGTCAAGTCGAGGAAGGTACCAGCCAGTCCCGGATTCCACAGCGGAGACCCAGCGGGTTTTGTCTTAAGCAGACTGGGCCATTCAACCCGGGTGCCCCCTTGCCCGCCTTATTTCCCCGTGTTTTCCACCTCCCACAAATGCCCGTCGGTCACCGGTAAGCTTAGGGCAGTGCGCCGGCGGAGGCGTTGTCGGTGCCACAGTCCGGGGACCCGCCCCAGCCTCGCCCGGCCCGGCCTCCCAGCCCGGCCTCCCAGCCCGGCCCGCGGAGCAGCCAGGGCCACGGGCGGCTCGTAGACTCACGAAGTGCAGTTCTCGGTGGACTCGGAGATGCCGTCGTCGATCTCCATGTTGGCGGAGAGGCTGGCGAAGCCGTGGGGCAGCTCGTCCCACTCGTCGAACCTGATGCCGGTGCCGAGGGAGTAGCGGCCCTCCGCGCACGGCTTGCAGGCCTGGTCCTTCATGTCCAGGAACTCCCCGGCGTTGCAAGAGAAGGCTGCAAAAGAGGACGGGGACAAGGGCGGGGGCTGAGTCACTGCAGCCCCAGGACAGGTGGTCGGGAGGAGCACAGGGCTGGGTGCGAGGAGTCCGACCCACTAAGATGTGGGACCATGGCGCGTATTGTGTGATTCTGCTTGTATGGAACGTCCAGAAAAGGCAAAGCCACAGGACACAGAAAATGGACTGTGGTTGCCAGGGGCTGGTGGGAGGGGCCTGGGGACAGATTGCTAATGACATGAGGTTTCTTTCCAGGGTGATTAAAATGTTCTGAAATTACAGAGCGATGATGGTTGCCGTGAATATTCTAAAAACCAATGAATTTTACCTCTAAAGGGGTGAATTTGATGGCATGTAAATTATATCCCAATAAAGCCGTTAATAAAAAAGAGAGAGAGAGAGAGAGAGAAAGAGAGATTGATTGACTTAGGGCCACGGACACTCTGCCTTGCTCCAGGACTTTGGGCTTATCCCTAGCAGTCTTGTTTCCTTCGGAGAGGCATGTAGGTCATTCTGGAGCTCTCCAGGGAAGAGGATGCCATGGTCTCTCCTGCTGACCCCGCTGAATGGTGCACAGCCCTTCAGCCTTGAGTTTCCCCCTTGAGTCTCTGGCCTCTGTCTCCTCCTTTCTTGTTCTACTACTACCATGCTAGCTGGGATTCTCATGACCTGCTAACTCAACCACTGCAATGCCCTCCTCACTAGTTCCCTATTCTTATTTTTGCACATTCTGCGGTCAGAGGTACCTTTCTAAAACACTGATATGTACTACTAGTCTCCTTATTTAAAAAATAATCAGGCATTTCTTTTGGTTATTGAATTAAGCTGTCCGCCTGGCATTCAAATTCTACCACAACTTCCCGCAGACTAACTCTCCATTTTGACCTTCCACTACAGATCTTTCTCTGCCTCAGTCCCACCTGTCACCTTCTTGGTGTTGCCTCCACCCAGGACCACAAGCTCTTCCCCAAATGTGTCGCTGTTCTTCCACCTCCAAACTTTTGCTCAAGTGGTCCTCCCAGCTGTTCCTGATTTCTAAGCATCCATCATGCTCATTCTTTCTCACACTGTATACGTCCTCACCCACTAGGCTCTGAGCTCCTCCAAGGACAGCTGGCTCGGTGACTAGCACAGACCGAGTGGGAGCTCCACAAGGTTTGCTGAAATAATGAGTGGATGAATGAATGTCTGCTCCTCCCACCACACTGCAAGCTTCTGAAGACAGAGACGGTGCCTCATTCATGCTGTGGTCCACACTGCATGTGCGCACCACGGTGCTCACACATGGTGGGAGCTCACTGAAGTTGGCAGAGTGAACTGAAGGTGGCTCATTTGTTTCCATTAGTCACACCTTGGTTCTGCTCAGATCTCGGCAATACCTGTTTATTAACTTAATAAGTATTTATTTATAAATACAGGAACTACTCAACCAGGCACTGTGCTGAGCTGATTTTAGAATTGGAATACCCTTAATCTCCTTTCAAATTCTTCAAATGATTCCTTAATTCTAGTGCCTGATTCTTATTGTTATTCTCTTTGCATTCCTAAAAGAACAGGGCAAGGGCGGAGTTCCAGTCCGTTACCCCATGGAACTTTTACAGAACAGTGCAGGAGAAATTGCCAATTGTGGAAAAGCTGAGACTGCAGAGTCACAGAGGCAGGGACGGGAGCTGCACCGAGACACTGTCTTTCCTACTGCACAGTCAGATCCACAGTTGGGAACATTCTTGTCTCCTGAACTGATGCCTGGTGCATTTTAAAGGATGTCTCTGCAGAAATTTATCCTCTCTGGCTTCCTTTTTAAGAACACAAGCAAATCGTGATCTTCCCTAATGACTGATTGTGGCTGGGGGAGTATAGATTGGAGAGAAATACACAGGCAAAAAAGAAAATGTATGCAAAAAGGAAAAAAAAAATCAGAGTGGCACACAGCTGGAATTTTTGCTTATGCTGTATCCACTGATGGGATTTAAATTTTTTTAAAAAATGAAAGCAAATTCAAATATTCAGTTTGCATCCACGAAATAATATTTTTGCATCAAATTTCAAAAGAGTCTGGTATGGGGACTAACTAGGGGAAAGATCTGATTCCTTAAGGCAGCTGCACCATCTGGAAGGGTCTATCTTGGACAGCAGGAGGCTTGGAGGGAAAACAAAAGCTAAGTGGCAGGCAGGCTCTGGAGCAGGATGGCTGCTTACAGCACTCGGTGCCCTTGACGGGGTCTGGGAGGCTGGTGCACAGGCCTGGGGTGTGCGGCACGGCGACCCTCCACCTGGAACCCGTGCTGTCACACGCGGTGTACTCATAGTGGTACTCAGACTGTAGGGGAGAGAACAGTGGGCAAAATGTCCATTAGCAGTGATCAAACATTAACAGCTTCCCACCCACTTCCTGCCCAGCAGGATGGCTACTGACAGTCATTGTCACAGTAATGGGCCCTGGAACCCCAGGCAGCGAGCAAGGCATTGTGGTGCTGAAATGATTATGATTCAAGTACAAGAACCACAATAATTTGGATCATTCCTTTCCACCTGGCCATGGTCTAGTCCCTAGAAATACATTTTTTGTGTGTGACTCCCTTTGCTGTTGTATGTAAGTAATGTCCTGATGGAACGGAGGAATGTGGGAAGGTAACTAAAGAACAGGCTAGAAACAGGTAGAGTTTTTCTTATTCCAAACTGTAGAATTTATGAGCAAGGACGTTTTAAATGGAATGATGTCCTGAATGGAAGGGCTGGTCCACAAAAAATTTACAAAGGATTGTCCCAGAAGCTGTATTTCTGTTTCCCTGTGTTCCTCACACTCCCTTATGCTGAGAAAGACTACAAATTCCCACTTGCATTTTATGAAAATGTCATATTTAGCCCAGACAGGCGATATGTTCTCATCACATGAGCCTGTTCACGCCTACTTTCTCTGTGCAACGAGAAATTCACAGTTCAGTTGCTTTACCTGAACTAAGAATAAACTGAATAATAACAGCAAAACAGCCAAATCAAGCATTCAAATAAAACAACACAGCAAAAACAACAAAAAGTACTACTCAGGAGAAAGAAAACACAATTGATGGGTCAAATGTTCTTAAGTATTTCTCACTCTTTTAAATCTTGTAATAAACAACCGACCATGGAATTAGTGATGATTTGGGCTCTGACAAGTATTTTACAATCTGCCTTACCTAAAACTATATTCAAACCCAGAGGTACTCTGTATTACTGTATCCGTACGAAAAATAAAACTAATGTTCCCCTTCAATCCACATGACAGCATGATTACATGGCATGTATAACTTCAAGGAGCTGACACTAAAAATGAGACAGTTCTGAGTTTGCTAATCTAATAATGCATCAGGACCAAAAGGAAAAAGTTTTACCTTTTGGATAGGTGCACATACTGCATTTGATCCATTCTAAGATGCATGTTCTTTCTACATTTAACCTCTATGAAACCAAGATGCATCTTGTAATTGACACAGTAAAGAAGCATTGTGTCATGCTAACTGATAGAGCTGTTTCTTTGTGGCACATAAAAAATGATCTTAGAAGGAGTGGCATCTCAAGCTTGTTGATGAACGTGTTGTTTCTTTTTTTTTTGAGACAGAGTCTCACTGTGTTGCCCCGGCTAGAGTGCCGTGGCGTCAGCCTAGCTCACAGCAACCTCAAACTCCTGGGCTCAAGTGATCCTCCTGCCTCAGCCTCCCAAGTAGCTGGGACTACAGGCATGAGCCACCATGCCCGGCTAATTTTTTCTATATATTTTTAGTTGTCCAATTAATTTCTTTCTAATTTTAGTAGAGACGGGATCTCGCTCTTGCTCAGGCTGATCTTGAACTCCTGAGCTCAAACAATCCGCCCGCCTCGGCTTCCCAGAGAGCTAGGATTACAGGCGTGAGCCACCGCGCCTGGCCTAACCATGTTGTTTCTTGATCTCTGGTTTCAGAAACTTAGAATGATCAGAAAACAATTTAAGGGCTTTACTTTTATTTTCCTCTATTAGAAATATCACCAAATACCTATTGTTTGCCAAGCACCTAGAGGTAGGAGATGTACCTGGTGAGCTCAGGACAGCAACACACAAACTCAGCATTTTCACCTCAAGGGAGAAGATGCACAGGAGATGGGGAAAATTTAGGGAACTTGGAGCCTAAATTTTGACCAGCATCTTTGGCTTTGTATTTAGATGTCAGTGTCACCTAGGAAAGAAAGATCAGGATGGGAGTTCTTTGTGTCCTGGGGTTACCATCTCTCTCGGGCTATTTTTCCTCACAATTCCACTCTTTTCCTCATCTCAGATGATGCTGAGGATAAGTAGGGCAACTACACATATATCATATCAATTCTGGTTCTAAAAATGATACTCTCAAAAGGGTTTGCTGCAAGAATGAGGGGTCAAATCCACAGTATGTAAATTAAATGGAGAATTGTGTGAACAAGGCAGAAAGGATTCAATGTTCTGCCCGTGAGCATAATCATGTGGTCTTTTTATAGTGCTTTCATTGTTCCCAAACACCTCATTTGATCTTCACAATTACCTATAAGGCAAACAGAGCAGGAGCTGTTCCCTTCATTGCAACAATGAGAAAACTGACCCTCAATGGGGTGAAATAGCTCATCCAAGGTCACCCAGCCTGTGCACCACTGAGCTAGAACCCAGGCCTTCCCACCAGGAATCCTCTTCCACCCTCGTAGAGCTGATCAAACACAAACTCACACTGGGCCAAATTTAAAAGCCAAATCTAAAAATTAAATATGACAGTGTTGGTTGTCTGCCAGCAGCCAGGCTCACATCTCAGGCCTGAGAATCAGTGTTAAAATATCTAATCTGTTCAAGCAGATAATTTCCATTCACTCTGACTGCATTTGGCCTTTTGGGAGCACGTGGGCCAAGTCCATTACTTTTCATAGTCTTTCATTTGGTGTCCCCTGAGTCCCACTCGGATGGGAGGTTTGCTGGGGAAAATGGTAGTTCCAAGCCTTAGAAAATTTCCCTTTCAATATGCGCTAATTTACTTCATGCCATTTGGGAATATTTACAGCCGTGGAGGTAGCTGGCTCTGATGCACTTGTTTCAAATCTGAACTACATTTAAGATCGCACCACTTAAGACATAAGCTTAGAAAGAGTTAAATCAGACATATAACTGGCAGGACTCCTCAATTATATTCAGTGTTCTGTGAACAATTCCCCAACAGTACCTCAATTTACCCAGTGATCTATTTTTTTTTTTTTTTTTTTGAGACAGAGTCTCACTCTGTTGCCCGGGCTAGAGTGCTGTGGCGTCAGCCTAGCTCACAGCAACCTCAAACTCCTGGGCTCAAGCGATCCTCCTGCCTCAGCCTCCCGAGTAGCTGGGACTACAGGCATGCGCCACCATGCCCGGCTAATTTTTTCTATATATTTTTAGTTGTCCAGCTAATTTCTTTCTATTTTTAGTAGAGACGGGGTCTCGCTCTTGCTCAGGCTGGTCTCGAACTCCTGAGCTCAAACAATCCGCCCACCTCGGCCTCCCAGAGTGCTAGGATTACAGGCCCAGTGATCTATCTTTGAGAGTGTGCAATCTGCATATTGTAGAGATTCACAAAGGAGGCACACACACACTTTCAGTGTATGTATCCAGCACACCATTCCTTCCTCCCCACCATGCACAATCATAATGACACATATCCAAACCATAATGCTAAATGAGACACAGCAGGCAGTGGCTGCTGCCTGTTCACCAGGGAAATAAGGGAAGGGTTAGCAATAAGGGAAGGGGACTATTACTTAGTCCATCCTCCCTAGCATCACCCCACTGTGTAATACTCCTGGGCATATAAGGAGGAAGAGGAAAAAACTCCAAAGTTGAAATCTGCCTTGCCTAATATCGAGCTATCTGTTGGTAACACTGATCTTTCAACTCCAGAAAAATTTACTCAGACCCACAATAGTTTTAGTCCTTGCTGTCTAGGTGTTGGACTGCTGAAATGATTTTTTTTAATTGCCAAGTCAGGATGGTATCTGGATGGAAATCTGTCCTTCCTTCCACCTTTTCCCCTCCCCTTTCTTTCAAAATAACATGTCTTAGTTTTTTAAATGATTATCAGAGTAATAGTTTAAAGACTAGAGATTGTTGATAATCTGTGGTTAGATGCTAGAGAAGTATTTGATTGCCATCCACTGTGGAAAATAGATACAATTTAAGCTGATGAGCTGGTGACAAAGAGATGTGGTCCACAATGCTGGTGGTGGGAGGGCCATAAGGACTGCGTTAGCCTCTTTGGTATGTCCTAAGTAAACAGGCCAGTTAGAAGTGATCCCACCACCCCATTACCACATGGTCCTCGACTTCCCTAAGCCACAGTTGCCTTATCAAAAAATGGGAATATACAAATATCCGCCTTATTAGCAGGGCTGCTGTATACAGTTGTGCAGGCTATTCACAAGGCTACCTAGCTCAGGGCGTGAGTGGAAGGTGAAATCTAGCTCAAACTGCTAGGTGGTATGCCCTATCATGGGGCTTCATCTACCCTGAGAGGGGATGCCTTTTTCCCATGTGCAATTGGTCAGCTGTGAGCATAATTAAGGTGATGTATGTCAAGCACTTAGCACAGTAGGCTTTTTCATCTTCAAAACAACCCAATGAGGTACATACAATTATTTTACCATTTTACAGGTGAGAAAACTGAGGCATTGAGAGGTGAATTTGCTCACTCAAGACCACACAGCCAGGAGGTTGCCAAGCCAGGAATGGACCCAGGCCATCTGAGTCCAGTCTCTGTTCAAGGCTGCTGGTATTTGAGAGCGTCCTGTCGCACTCACAAAGTGTATCTAGGGCTCAGCATTGGCTCTCAAGCTGCTGAAAACTTTGAAGGAAAGCCAAGCGTATCAAAAACTTTGTAAACACATATAGAAGTAACATTCACAGGGCATTGGGCAGGTGGGAGGGGGAAGGGGCGATGGGTAAATTCACACCTAATGGGTACAGTGTACAATGTCTGGGGGTTGGGCACACTTGTAGCTCCGACTTGGGTGGTGCAAAGGCGATACATGTAACCAAGACATTTGTACCCCTGTGATATTCTGAAATTTTTAAAAAAGGACATTAAAAAACAAAAAAAAACTGGCCGAGAGCGGTGGCTCATGTCTGTAATCCTAGCACTCTGGGAGGCCGAGGCGGGCGGATTGTTTGAGCTCAGGAGTTCAAGACCAGCCTGAGCAAGAGTGAGACCCCGTCTCTACCAAAAAATAGAAAGAAATTATCTGGGCAACTAAAAATATATATATATAGAAAAAATTAGCCGGGCATGGTGGCACATGCCTGTAGTCCCAGCTACTCAGGAG